TTTTCTCCTTCACAGATGTTGCCAGATCTGCTGAGCTTTTCCAGCAACTTTGTTTTTGCTCCTTTTTATATTTATACCCATTTTGATTAATTTTTCCCCACAGAGGAAAAGCAGATATTTGTGAGTATAGCACAAAATGATTTATGATATGAGATGGCGCTTGCTAGGATTTTGCTAGCTCGGTTTTGGGTTCTACTAGTAACTGCCTGTTTTTGAGTGAGCTTTGAAAGTATTTCTATGTCCTTGAATACTGTTCCTGTTAATGGATCAGGAAGCATTGCTAGCTGATCAACCCACCCAATGTGCACGGGTGCCTGATTTATGAACGTCAACTTACGAACACTTGCATTTATGAACACAATCCCGTAGATGTTTATTATTTTAAAGACTCAACAAATGAACATTTCCTGTACTTAGAAATGGCTGCCATTGTTCTGACATGTGTGCAATTAGACCTGCAAGCAGACTCCAGAACAGAACCTGTTTGCAACCCGGGGACTGCCTATACGGCCAGTGAGTTAGTGATGGTGCTGACTTAAGTAAACGAACACATCTGACCTGGATGTGCTACCAACCATCCTCTATTTCCAATATGAGCAGGTCAACACCAATTTGTCATCCATTACAAATGAATTGCATCCAGCTTTTAAACAATTCAACCAACATGAAATAATAGCAGAATGTATTAGAAACACTTGGAAGCGTAGGATTAGAAGTAGACCATTCAGTCCCCAGAGTTTACTGCACCATTTAATTAATTCATGACTTGCTCCTCAAACACTATATCTACATATTTTTTGAAGCCCTTGCCTACTCAAATTACTTTGACTCTTATTTTGACCCAACATCCTTGTAGTTTGAGACAAGAAAGTTCCACGTTTCAACTATTTTTCTAATCTAATCTATTAGATCTTTCGACTAATTTTTAAATACCTTGATTAGGCCGTCCCTTACCTTTTTTTATTTCTAGTTAATGCACCCCATCCATGTAATTTAATCTTTGCGAGCGCTTGTGAATTTGAAACAACAGACAGCAAAATAAATCTGCAGCACTTTTAAGTGATTTGAGTTTGTTACCTTTATAAACCGTGTTGGTCGCTTTTTGGGTTTCTTTTGACATTTTCCTTAAACCCGCCCCTGAATATTCTTAGCAACAGTGTGTGATGTCTTTCTGTCAATTATTATTTATAGAACAGCTTGTTTTGTATATTCTCTACACCAGGAATTAGGGTTCAAAGCACTTTTAGATTTATACCACATGTATAGAATGTGACACTGTTGGACATCATGCATGACTATGAAGGCTGCAGGAGACTTGAGTTACAAATGCTGAGTTTGGTCACTAAATGATAGCCCTCTAGTTTTTCCTATCTTTCCAGAAAGACTTTTTTTCCATAATAGCTGAAGTGCCTCTTGAATTTCACTTTCACCTTTGTAGCTAACTTGCATCAACTCCATTCCAGCTAGTGGATCTCACGCCAAAAACTTTCCTTACAAGTATGGAGAAGCTCAAACAGATTGTCATCAGACAGATTAGATATATATGTTAGATTTCAAATTTTGTCGAGTAAGGTGTCAATCGGTGTAAGATTTGAGGTATTTGTTGTTGCTTGTTTAAATGCTTTGCAAAATGATCTTTTATCTGGAATGGACTTGCTTAATTACATATTTCCTGCTTGTGTTGTTGACTTGCTGTGTAGATGGAAATAAATAGTGATTTTATTTTTGTTACAGGTTTGTTAAATAGCTCCTGTCTTCCAACTACTTCAGTTTTTAAGATGTAATAATTCAAATGGATCCCTATTACCTAAATTCACAGCTGTTATATGGAGTTAGCCTTGCAGAATTTGTAAAAGTGGGAGTGTTCATTGCACATTACATTTTGCAATGCTTTCTAACAATTTTGAACTGTTATTTTGATTAATGTTAGACAAAGCAGAAACAGTTTAGCACTTGACTTGATTCCCAAGCCTCATTAGTAGTGTTGTTATTTGTTCTGAGCATTTTCATCGTGGCAGATGATTTATCTAAGGTGTAAACAGTTGATTGCTGATCCTTTTGATTTCGTTAGTCTGTCTGTTATAGTGTATTCAAGTACTTGAAAATGTTTTCTCATAATTTTCAGAATAGAGTACTAAACTGTAATATCTGACCCAGTTGCGCTTAGCGTAAATATTCGAAATTTCAAACATCCCCATATCATGCGTTTTTAGTAAAAGGAAATTGGAAGAATTGGTGTAAATTTACTTTCAAAATTCCCAGTAAACATTGGAATCATGTCCTCTTCATCACTTTTTTTTAAAAAAGGACAGAACTACGTGAATTCTTCAGTTCTTTTCATCGGCGAATCCCAATTCCATTGACATTCCTAAGGGCATCTATTCATGTTACTTTCATTCACTCCATTTAGCAAATAAGTTTAAAGTATAAATTAATGATATCAATGTTATTTAAGTTTCTATTGCCTGTGAAAATTAAAACTGACTGCTGAAGCCATAATTTGCATTGTCAGCTAAAGTCAAGAATCTAAAGAAAGTCAACTGGCTTCTTGAAATCAGGCGGATTGTTTTAAGAGAGCTGAAATATTGAAAAGTCAGTATAACATCTTTCAAGCGTAATGATCTCATGAAAGAATTCATGACTGTGCTAAAACAAATGAGAACTAAATAAATTGGACGTTTGCAAGTGACTTTTGCTGTGTAGATGGAAATATATAGTGAATTTTTTTTTTGTTACAGGTTTATTAAGTATCTCCTGTCTTCCAACTACTTCAGTTTTTAAGATGTTATAATTCAATATTTCTTTGTATTTTGTATTATGTTGCATTAAGTTTCCTGGTAAGCTGATTAAATTCAGCATTTTAAGAACATTAGTGTTTGTGGAAAAATGTCAACCAAGGCTGAT